GCCATAGCAAGGGACACCTTCCACTAGACCAGGTTGCTCACAGCCCCATCCAACCTGGCCTTGAATGCTGCCAGGGATGGGGCAGCCACAGCTTCTCTGAGCAACCTCTTCCATTATAACACTATTTTTTATTAACCACAGAAGATACAGAATTCCAACACAGCATACCAATGGATTTGGGAGGTGACAGTGCTCCCTGCCATGGGGTGTGACCAGACAAGCTTTATTTTTAAACCTCACAGCCCTGATATCCATCTCCACCAAAGAAACCCACCTGGAGGTGTTGCCAGCAGGACACACAGTGCAGCAGTCATCAAGGGTCATGCTTGTCTGCAGAAGTCAGGCTTGAGAGCTACCTTCCTGTTACATTGCCCCAGGCAAGGCAGTTGTTCTACTTTTTCCTTTGTGGTCTCAAGAAGCCATACTGGTATCGGGCACTGGTTACCAACAGACCCATGAGCCTTTTTCCTTTCTAACAACAGCTTGGGTTTGAAGCAGCAGTGGAGCTGAGAAGTGGGCACAGGAGTGTACCTATGACCCATGCATGGCCTCATGTCACCGGTTCTTGGGGCATGGATAACCTACACTAACAAAAACCACATGAACGTGAATGCAGCTGGTTTCACAGTGGCTCAGTGTATGCACATGAGATTTGTTTCTTTCTTCCAGCCTGTTCTGTTTATTCCTATTCAGAAGAAAAGCTGTCATGAAGCAAGAAAGGTCAAACTAGTCTGATGCATTACTAAACACAGAGAAAACAGTTTGCTTTATGAAACAGTGGACGGATTTTCTGCGCAAATACATATTTTATCTTCATTGCACCCAGCCATCTGATTACAATGAAACTGAGAAGGTGTTTACCTGAAACAGAATATCTGTTCCTTTTGGAGCTTCTTGGTGTTTTGCTTTTTGTCTGAGGTGTACATTTTAAGCAGGAAAAACAAAGTTATCCTGTGAATAGTGCAGGTGACAAGATGCTCTGTTGTTTACTGCACCGAGCAGTGATTCAAACATTCAGCTTAATTCTGTATTCTGTTCTCCCTTTCTGTGTGCAACTGGGTTATGCAGCAGAGCCTGTGGCTCACTTGAGCATTCATGATATGAAGATGGCACTTCCCCACTCCACAAGAGGACCAAGTCCACTTATCATCAGGGAGCATTCAGATGAAATACTGCTGGGAGGCCAGGTTGTTCTTACACACTTTGAGGAGAGCCCTGGCTTTCATCTGAGTTGTTTTTAAGGCTTCTTTAAAACCCCACAAATGTTCCAAAGAGCAACTTGTTTTTAAAAGGTTTTGCTGCAGAAGATGGAGGGAATTTTGGAGTAGAACATTGGCAACCCATTCCCCTGCACACCTACTAAACTGAATGGAACCATGTTTGCTAGCTGGCTCTGTGAATGTGGCCACCAGATGTGGTCAGATCCAGCAGAGGCCACTGTTACAGACTAGTAGACCTTGGTACAACACCCACATGTCTTTATCTGAACTTTACCCATTGCTAGAGGAGGTGTAATTACCTGACTGGGAACTCTTCAGTGTGCTCCTCCAGTGTGGACTTGGGATCAGTACCTAGGAAGGAATGGGTGCTTCTGGATCCAAAGCTCATCCCATTGCTAGGAATGTGTTTTGGTTTTGAAAGCTGGTGACATGAGTTATATTATTTTATAGGAAATTATATAAAAAGCCTCAGTGAATGACCATGTAGGAAGGGAAAGGGGTAACAAAGTCAATCAAACTGGTGTCAGTCATTCACACTCATTCTCTTCTGGAGTTTTTATTCCTTCTCATGAGAGCCATTGCCGTGTGTGGCCAAGCGCTCCTGCCAGGACAACTTTAGTGATGTGAAGGATCAGGAAAGCCAGGTATCAGATTCCTGTCCAGTCTCGTAGGTCCTCTGGACTGTTGATGATGAACTGGCTTTTGGACTGAGCTCACATAAACTTCAGGAGTCAACTGTTTCTTGGATCCCAGCCTCTAGCTCCTGCAGCAAATAGTGCTTTCCTCAGTGTTTACCCATATGAAAGCTCTTCATCCTGTCTATGGCCAGCATGGAGACCTTTCTTCTCAGCCTCATTCTTTTGTTTCTCCTGGAGCTTTCACACAGGCAGATATTTCCTTTCATGTTTTACTCTGATCAGTCTTTGCATTTTCCTAACAGGTAACTAAAATATCATGAGGTGGTTAAAAAAATATAATAGAGTATCTCTTTGTTCAGTCCCAGACACCTAGGCCTGAGAGCACATCTCTCCAGCTGAGAATGTCAATGGTATTTTGGTCATTAATATATTTATTATATTATGTTTATAATATTATATTTGGTCATAATCATCATGCCTTGGGCAATATGGTCTAGTATGAGGTGTCCCTGCCCATGGCAGTGGGGTTGGAACAAGATGATCTTAAGGTCCTTCCCAACCCTAGCCATTCTATGATTCTATGATTCTGTGCTGGGAAGCTGGAGTGCTGAAACATCTGCACCCTCCTGTGATTGCATGCACGCTGTCTCGGTTTTTGCAATGAAAACATAACGGTATGTATCTGGCAGTCTGGATCATGCATCTTAGTTCAGCAGATGCCAATAATGGTTGTAGCTGGATATTAGATATTATTAAGAAGAAAATATAAAATAAGGCTGTTAAATAGCATATGTTGGCTGGTAGAAAATGTCTTCCAGATGCTTGGAAGCATGATATTTGGCATGGGAACTGCACGCTTTGATAAAACTATTGCAGCATTGCCGCCAGCTCAATGTAGGTATTTCAAAACAAAAGGATTTGGGAACCCTTATGAAAGAGGGAGAAAAAACATCCCAGTGTCTTTGCTAGCTTTCAGCAATACCGACACTCTTGAGTAGTAAAGGTTGGCATAGATGCTCCTAGTCTGTAGCACAATACCTATCATAGCTCAGATTCATGGGCCAACACAACCTGGAGCACTGAGATTTTCTGCACGGTAAGGTCAGGATCACTGTGGCAGTTTAAGCCATGCATGCTCCCTACAGTCTGGCACTTGGTCAAGAAATTTTGGATGAAGCAGATAAATAGGTCTAATTTTTTTCATGGTACTGGCACCTCAGTTGACTTTATCTGGCCTAAGAGGGGCTGGTGGCTGCTCATGACTTTGAAGGGGATGGCAAAGGCACTTTACATGGATGCTTCAGGACCTGCTCCCAAAACCTGGCAGCTGGTGTTGCAATAGGGATGTCTCCCCAGTGCCCTCCTTCCATCTCCCTGAGGTCATCCCCAGGAGAAGGGATGGGCAAGCACCGTCACCTGTGGTGGGCAGATCCTGTGGAGGACCTGTAGATGCCAAGGGACCAGCACAGGTCAGCACTGGGAAACCCCACCTGCAGGGTGGAGGCAGGTGAAGAGGGACTTGCCTGTGCCCAGCAAGGAGGAAACCTGACTCCCGGGAGCTGCATCCCAAAACCACAGCACCACCAGCACTCTAACAAGAAAATAGAAGGGAAGGAAAACAGCCAGAAAACTAAGGTCTGCTTCTTCGTGCCTGAGACACTGCAGAGGTAAGAAAGCTGCACGCAGAAAGAGAAAAAGTATTTAATCAAGCTTTGGGTTAATAGTGGGGGTATCTGATCATTTGTATGTCATATGCAGAAAGCTCGCTGGCTTTACTGAGAGCTAGTCTCAGTCACAGCATTTGTGATCACATCCATGTGCCCTTTGTGGCCTTGCAGACCTCCGGTGTGGGATCACAGCATCCTTCTGCCAGGTCCCGGCAGCAGTTTCACTGCACTCTTGGTTGCTCCCTTTGGATGCAGAATCGCTATTTTCCCTGCCAGCAGCAGCTTTCTCACTGATGGTATTTTGGCTCATGTAACTGGTATTTAGTATTTTCAGTGGGATTTACAAATAGCAACTCCCCAAAGAGGTGTAATAGATATTAGCTATTCCCTCAAGGCAAACAGGGCTGCAAAGGTTTGGGATGATCAAACTGTGTGATTGGTAGGAGCAGTTAGGAGGCTTACTAAAGTGTTGCATCTGAATCTCTGTGCTTTCAACATAAATGCTCTATCAGAGTGTACAGTGCTAGGGACTTACCTGAACAGTGGCTTCTTGTCTTGCTTATGGATGAGTAAATTTTGCTCCAGCTGCCCCAATACTTGGACAGAGAGGGATACAGGTGCCTCCACAGATTTCTGGTGTTAGCTGAGATGCTAGAAAATGTACCCCACCTGCTCACCCACTGCTATTTGAGAGCAGTATGTGTCTCACATTGGTGAAATACACTATCTTGATGCCTCTGAGGGTGTCTTGGTTACTGTGGGGTGTCAGAGGTGTCACTGCACTCTTCTGCTTGAGCACCTGAGCCTCATCAGGGGCTCTGTACAGCAATACCAGGGATTGGGGCTTCTTCCCCTTTTCTGGAAGAGCTGCAGCTGGTGGCAGAATGCAGTTGCAGGTTCCTAATCATAAAGAGACAGAAAAGGAGAAAAGCAGGTTCCCAGACCTGCTTGCAGACCCCTTTGCCAGTCAGACGCTCAGTAAAGCTTTACCTCTTCTCCCAGGCTCTTCCAAGCATCCTGTTTGGTTGCTCTTGAGCTGGTTCCACTTGGAAATGGCCCCTAGCTGGTGGTCAGCTGGTGGCACTGTGTGCTGCTGGCAGCTATTGCTGCCCCTGATTACACTGCTGAGAAACATTTGTAAGCATCCTACGCATCCTCTTGCATATGCTGGACAGTAATGATCTGTAACAGCAAAGTCAGTGCACGTGACCCAACTGACTCATCTGCCAATAGCCCTTAATGACCTCCTTGTAAATGTACCTAAGTATGATGCTTTTAAGGTTTCCAGCTTGGGAGTGCTCTAACTCTGTGCTTTCTGTGTTTGTGCTGCCCTCTATCTCAGCTGGGATTTTGTATTTTAGATGCTCTTAGTCATTAATTCCCTCAAACTTCACCTTACTGCAGCATCCCCAGTCACTGCTGGGTGGCTGTAAATGCTGCCTGGGCCAAGTCCGGTGACCATGAAGGAAGGTAATCAAAGGAGAGGGTGTCATCAAATTGAAGATGTGTTGAGCACTCAGCAGGAAAGCTTGTGGGTTAAAGCAAGTGGTGTGCTTAATCCCCGCCCTGGGGTTAAGATGAGCTTTTCTGACCAGGAAAAGTGGTTGTGATCAGGCCAAGAGATTTAGCACTGGAAAACAGAAACATGGGTGGAGGAAGCCAGCTCTCCCCTGTTGCAATCCAGAACATACGGCTGTGTTTCTTCCTGACCTGAGAGGATGGGGATTAGTGCAGTGGGGTGTGAGGCAGAGTATCAGGTTTGCCACCCTGCTCCTTGGCTGTTCCCACTCACTGGCTCTGCCTCAGTGCTCCCATGAGCAATTACAGAGTGCAGCACCTCTACAGCCCTCTCAACCCCAGCTCCCAAAGGGCAGCAATTTCTGCATTCAACAGGGGCAACCTGCTGCCAATCATGTTATGTCTTGTCTCTTGGAGATGCAGAATCTTTTGCCTGCCTCTGCATTTCACTCTCCTCTGGCTGGGGAAGGTTAGCAGGCCTCGTCTTCCCTAAGGCAATCCCTGGCCAGCGCAATGCAATGAGTATTCTCTGTCAGTTCAACTAACTTATCTTGTGCAGTTTCTGTGTATTTTTCACCAGACCCACTATGGGATGGGACAGGTCTCAGTAGCTGCTTGAAACAAAGTCATGTTTGACCATGTCTTAATGTTTCCACTCCCACATGGGGAGCTGCTTTGCTGGCTTATTGCTTGGATGGCTTTGTGACTGCCCAGAGGTTTCACAGTTAAATCCCAGCTTTGCCTGACTGTGACGGTGGATCCCAGCAGGAGCTGCGATGGCCACTGCACCAAAAGAGGCAGAAAATACTATTGGTCTGGAGGAAATCTGCATGGAGAGACAAGAACCCCCAAAAGGTGGGTTTGTATTGACAGGACTAGGAATTTGGGTCCTCATTTAGCTGGGCAAGAGAGAGGGTCCCCAGTCCTGGCACTCTAGCTACCTAAAACCTCTGTACATGGAAACACGAGTATCAGCTCTGTACTGCTCTTCTCCCACCACAGCTACCAGGCTGGTGGCTGCTACATACAGTGGTGGGAAGAGCTGGCTGGCTTGGCTTTTCTCAGGCCTCTGCTTTGTGTATACATTTTATTATGTTGGTAATTCAAGCATTCTTTTCTTTTTAGCAAATAAATAAATGTATTCAAAATGATTTTTAAGTGAAAAAATGTAGAAAACCACTAAAAAGGCCTGAATTTGCAAAAAATAAAGAATTTTCGTCTGTTCCATTACATAGGTAATGTTGATGGGTTTGAGATGACTGAGTTGAGAGATAAATGGCCTGACAGAAAAATTTTTACAGCTCTGACTTCACCTGAATAAGAGCTTAAAAGCATACATATACTGAAAGCTTTCTGCCAGGTCTGTTTATAAAGCCACCCCAGCCCTGATCTTGAGATGCCTTTGTTAGCTCCTGAAATGGGGTGGAAAAGTCAGGAATAAAGGCTTAGGAGACAAAACTGAGCCCAGAGCTCCCAGCTGTGGTTTCTTGTAGGGCTTTGGGACTGGGGCAGCCCCTGGCTCACACTGCCCATGCTGGGAGTGGGCCCATACCCCAGAGGTGCAGAGGGAGTGAGCCTTAGGGCAGTTTGGGCATGGGAAGGGAATAGACAGAGTCCGAGCCATGGGTTTCCAAAGCATCTGGAGTAATTCAGTACAAGGATGTCCTTCAGGCCCATGCCCTCTTCTCTGCTGGCTGGTGTTTCAGCAACCACCCGATGTGTCCAGCCACCAATGTGCCCGGAGGCTGGTCAATGGACACACCACTAGTAGATGTTTCCAGCCTTTTTTCTGGTGCGGACCCACAGTAACAAGGAAAATGTTGGTATTTCATAAAAGGAAGGTACAATTTGACTGCTGACATGGGATTTTTTTTTTCTCTGTCTTCCTTTCCCTTTGATGTTCAGAACAGAAGACGTTTACAGTGGAAGAAGCTGTGGAAACCATTGGATTCGGGAGGTTCCACATTTTGCTTTTCCTGATCATGGGGAGCACTGGGGTAGGTATCTGCAGCCATCTGCACTGGCCCGAGAAACACTTTCCTCATTTTCCTTATTATGTGCAGTAGCAACCATAAGCACCATATTGCAGCCCATATTTTTCACAAATACCTACTCAAGCAGGATTTCTGCTGTTGTCATCTTTGCTCAAAATAGATCTTGGCCACAACTGACATTGCTATTTCAGGGCAAAGCTGAGCAGGGTGGCTTAGAGCATCCTGGCCTGGCCCCTGCTGCAGAGCACTGTCCCACCTGGCAGCACTGATGGGGCATGTCTTCAGTAGCACCTGAGGGTTAGGTTCAGCCTCCCAACAGCAATTTTCATGCCATCCTGAGGGTACCAAAACCCTGTACACTCTGGCTGCTGTCCTCCTACCCTTGGCTACCCAAAAACCTTCCTAACTGGCAGGGTCTTGCCAGACAGGTCTGATTTGTGACCAGAGGTAAAAGCCTGAGGCCAGGCTGGGGTAAAGAGGCAATGGGGCTACATCCATGAGAATCACTGCAGCTGAGATGTAAATGCCTCCAGCTATGTGTAAATGATAGGCTCATTTCTTAACTGAAGCCAGCTGCTGGGGCAAATAGCCAAAGGAGCAATGAAATTTTTAATGAAAAACAGCTTTAAGAGGTCATCTTTGTGCTAGATGCCTGAATTTACAGCTAAGTACCTAACCAAGCAGCTTGGTTTCCAGAGGTAGTTGAAGGTCTTCCACTAGCACAGGTGGGTAAGAATGCCTTCCTTCTGGAAAGGATGAGTCTTTCCAGTCTTCCTAGTTACACAGTGTACCTAGATACCTGATTTTCAACAGCTTATGTCTATCCAGATCAGGTGCAGGATTCAGACCAGTATGGAGGCACCTTGGCTTCACAGGGCTGTTTTGACATGACGAGACTGCCATGGCTGCAGGCTTGGTAGGACTGCAGGACTTTACCCTGTGGGCTTCCCTTCTTGCTAACTTGCACATTTGTTCCCAAAGGTGGCTGAAGCCATGGAGATCATGCTAATAGCTGTTGTGTCCCCTCACATCCGATGTGAATGGCAGCTTCAAGACTGGCAGGTGGCTTTAGTGACAACGGTGAGTGACTTATGTTCCCCTCATGCAGGTCATCCACCATGTGGTCATTGTCAGGGCACTGCCATGGGCTTTGTAAAGTACGTTTCCCAGGGGACCAAATAAATTCCTGGGGTCTCCTCTCAGGTACTAGAACTGCAGCAAAACAGAAAGCGAGCTGATGTGAACACGTATCCATGCCCAGAACTTTCATGTCAAAACAAGCCCCCACTTCCATATTGGAGTCCTTGCCACCCAACCCCCATCTTTGAGGGCTGAAGCAGTGAGTGCCTGCTTGGAGGAAGTCAGCCCCTGGTAGCCACCTCCCTCATGGTTCTGGGCACTGCAGTTCATCCTACTGCTCAGAGAGAGCATTCATCACACCTGCAGTTCAAGGAGCAGAGCTGACTGGTGCTGCTGGGACTGGGCCCTCCACAGCTGTGCTTCAATTCCCTTTAGATGGTGTTTTTTGGCTACATGGTGTTCAGCATAGTGCTCGGGCTGCTGGCTGACAGGTATGGCCGCTGGAAGGTGAGTGTATGCCATGGGGTGCATGTCTTCTCCTGAGCCCTACAGGAGCCATGCATCCTGCCGAGCCCATGGTCTGATGACGCTCATTTTTCCCCTTTTGCAGATTCTGCTGCTCTCATTCCTCTGGGGAGCCTATTTCTCCCTGCTGACCTCCTTTGCCCCATCCTACATCTGGTTTGTGTTCCTGCGGGCCATGGTAGGAGGTGGTGTATCGGGCCATGCGCAAGGGTAAGGTTATGCCTCATGCCTCGTAGTACAGGCAGCACCAAGCCAGCCTCCATAGGGAGGTTAATGAAGCCACCCATGGGCCCGGAGAGGCTGAGTTCCTGGGTTTGCAGCAAGAAAGCCTCTTCAGCTCATTTTGGCTGACCCTGGAAGTGTGCCCTCTTTCCCTTGAGCTGAGCCTGATAAGCCATGGCTGTGCTGCGACCGGGGGGAGACAGCAGGGAAGGGGCCTCCATCAGGGCTGGAAGTGGAAAAGGGAGCAAATTTCTACATCAGAAAGAGAAGCAAATTCCCACATCTCCTTAAAAAAAATGCCGTTCTGTAATTTCACTGAATCCTGGTTGATCAACCTAAACTGCAGTTCCCAAGGACTCCCAAGCCCGGGAATAGAGGAGGCAGCTGGTTTGCATTAAGCCAGTGACAAAAGGATTATTAAACACATATAAAACCAATTAGACAGGTAACAGATGAGCAAAGGCTGCTTCTTCCTAAAGAAGTCACAGCAATTCTGCTTAAGTAGCAAATTCTTCTTGAACTGATGTAAAACATTTCCACTTAAATGAAACTTTCTGCCCTGTTGGGGTGGGAAGGGGGACATGGCGAGGGAGAGCAGAAATTCCCAGTGTTGGCAACCAATGCACTAGGAGCCTGAGAAAGTAAATTGCTTTTTTGAGCTCTCTCAGGGAAAGCATCTTCCATGGTTCCTCGAAGCCTGGTTGCTGCCCAGGGAGAAAAAAACCAAACCAGTTGTGTTGACCCAAAAGCCCTTTGCCATGGGAAAGACAAGAGGGGCATAGGTGCTGCTGGGAGGGGAAGGCATCCTGCTCCTGGGTCCCATGTCTGCTGAGTAACCAACACTGCCTCCTTCACAGGAAGGCCCCCATTCCCTGGCCATGAAGGCTGCTGTCCTGGGTTTAGCAGTAGCAGTCAATTTTTCTCCTTCTTGGCAGCTGGTGCAGCGTTGTGTTTTGACTTTCAGCCTGGGAACAATACTCAGAACACCGATGTTCTCAGTTGTTGCTAAGTAATGTTTACCCTGACCAAGGACTTTGTGAGCCTCATGCTCTGCCAGGGAGGAGGGGAAGCTGTGAGGAAGCAGAGACAGGACACCTGACCCAGGCTAGCCAAAGGTATTCCATACCACAGCACGTCATGCCCAGGATGTAACTGGGAGTTACCCGGAAGGACAAGGGGTCTTCTGGGTCAGACTCGTTTCTTGGCCAGTGATATCGTATTCTCTTCCCTTGTTATTTTCTCTTATCATTGTTGTTGGTGGTGGTAGCGGTGGTGATTTGTGTTGTACATTGGTTGCTGGACTGTTCTTGTCTCAACCCGTAGGAGTTGCACTCTTTCGATCCTCCTCCCCATCCCTCCAGGAGTGGGGAAGGGGAGAGCCCCTGGGGGGGAAGGGGGGGTGGTGATGGGACAGGACGGGGGAGGGGGATGGGACGGGACGCAGGCCTCGACTGCTTCCAGCCCAGCACCACTTACTGGGAGTGAGTGAGTGAACGAGCTGGCTGGCTGGGTTTAAACCACAACAGCTGCTCATGAGCCTATTGAGGATGGAGGGAAATTGCACAGATATTGCACATGTTATAAAACACTTCAACAGCTGAGATAGAAGGAGCCAACATGGGTCTCTCCCCACCACTCTCTTTCCAGCCAAGGAAGCACAATTCCCACCTGTGAACTTGAGAGCTGCCCGTGAGAGCTCCTCCCCCAGGAGCTACCCAACCATTTGATAAAATGTGGAACAGGCTGTTTTCTGTAATGAAAAATAATGATTCACTAAAAATTGTCCATGGCTACAAACGTGCTCTATGTCTGTGCTGACACCTTGGTCACCCCACAGGATCTTCCCATAGGTTTTCTGATGCACAGACTGAAGTGTTAACCTGCCTGTATCCTACAGCCATGGCTGTGGGAAAGGATTCGTGGTGTGTATCTCCTTTGCATGTAATTTGGTGCCTGAGTGGAAGGCATATTAAACAGGGATCCATCATCTTGGGGTGCTGCTCAGTGGTGGAAGAGGGACGGTAGTCTGTCTACAGGCAGCAACATCCAACACTGACTGCCACAGAAAATATATGGACCCAGTCAGAGATCAATATGATCAGACAAAAGTCGTCTATTGCAAAGCCTTAAATCCATACATACTATTGCTTACAAGCACTTACAATGTTTTGGCATATTGTGATTGGATACATGCCTTGAAGACCCTTAGTGACTAACATATAATTGGCTAAGCACAGGTGTGAGAACCTGACCTCAAAAGCTTGCCAACAGTCCACAGTTCTCATTAGCTCGGTGAATTCCCGCTTCTTCTTATTTTGCTTGCTTAAGCTTCCCTGGGCCTCTCATGGCCTTGCTGTATCTCTCAGGATTATTCGGAGTTCATGTACCAATTATCCATTCTCCCGTGAGAACACTGCCTCCACATCTCCCCCTTTTTGTTTTATTTACCTTTTGGATGACCCTACGTGAGCAGGGGATTTGGGCTAGATCATATCTCCAACATATGCCACCTACAGGCTGCTGGGCCTGCCCTTTTTTCTCCTGTATGGCTCTCTGATAACAGGGGAGGCCATCCCCCACATCAAGGTCTGGCATGGCATTTTTTTTTATTTATTTATTTTTTTTTCTGCCACCCTGATGCTGCTTGGGTGACGACTCGTAAAGCTTGTGCTTGCACTACCCCTCTCGCTTTTTCAGTCAGCAGTTCTTGTTTCAACCGATCTACCTGTTCCTCCAAGTCTTGGATTCACCCCCAGGTTACTTTAAACATACTAAGCAAGGCTCCTACCGTGCACCCACTGTGTTGCAGGTGCTCTTTAGGCTTTGTCTGTGGTGTCTACAAACTGCCTCAATACCTCAATAGATTGAGAGGACTTTATGTGGGTTTGTTTGGTTGGTTGGTTGGTTTGGTTTTCTTTTCTTTCACTCCTCAGCTCTGGCGTCCATCCTGGCCGTTCCGCTGGTGGAGCGCTGGGAGCCGAATCAGAGGGCAACTGGGGGACCGAACTCTCTTCAAATACCCTTTTTTTTTTCCCCAAAGTCGCTCACCCTGCTTTGCACGGCTACAAACACCGGCCTGCTCGGCAGCTGCTGTAGATGCCTGCCTGCTTCAGCGGCAACCGTAAATACCTGCCGGCAACCGCACTTTTACATTAACCCTTTCTTGCCCGAAATGTTAAACTGCTGCCCGTTACAAACTTTTACATGAACCCGACAACAAAAAATACACAGAACACCATCTGTCCTCAACACAAGCACACGCACACACACACACACGTAAGGGATCCCACAAGCACACTCCACACAACTACAGTATTTGAAGCAAAAAATCCAGACAGTCATTACTCCCACTACAGTCCCATTTACAGAACGTGGCACAAGGACCCTGTGGAAACTAACAGCAAACCAGCTCTGAGAAGCATCATTGCAGTGCGAGGTGGCAGGCTCAACCTTAGCGGGCGTCCCTGCAGAGGCTCTGCCTCCCCCACATCGCACGAGGCTTGGGCTTTTATACTGACCAAAATGCACACTCATTCTGACACAGGTGGCCAGCCTATGTTGGAAGAAGTGGCCAGCAATATCTATAAAGGTCTCCAAAGGTGGATACAAACCTGGACATACTTAATATTTACCAACTTCTAGTACATGAGTATCACAGAGAGACTATCAAATGAGTTGTATATGGGGTTCCAAGTCCACAGTCTGCCACAGTCCACCCGATACCCCTGATAAGAGCATACGAGAGACCTTCCCACCGTGGGTCTTGATCCAGCACATACACCACCAGGAAAGCACACATTACATCTGCATCCCCACTGGTCTCACTTCTCCCTTTACAGCTGTGCATTTAACATGAAGACCTGGGAGATATAAATCAGGCTTCTTTTCTGGATGAATAGGCTCTGGGTCAAAAGGATCATCCAGGGCAGCATCAGAATTATCAGGCTTCAGAACCTCAGGAGCAGCAGCAGCAGTCTGATGGACATGCACAGGCTCCTTCTCGGGGTCAGTAGGGCCTGGGTTGAAAAGATTGTCTTCATCTCTGTCCTCAGTCTTCACAGCCACGGCAGCAACCGCCGGAGGTTTGGCGGGGGCAGGTGGGGTGGGGGGGGTAGGGGAACGATGACTGGGCTCCACGATCTCATTTTTTGACTTTAACATCTCTAAAATAGATCTCCAAGTGACTAACAAATTTTTCACAGTGTCATTGCCTTTTGTAAGTGCATCTCACAGCTTAACTCCTGCACCATTCCACAGAGACCTCAAATACGGTAGACTCGTCACTCTCTGGATAACGCGTCTTTGACCATTTCAACATTAAATTTAAGTCTGTCTCTTTAAAGGTTACTCCCTTCACCTTAAGAAGGACCGGAAACATCCATAAAACAGAGGCTTCTTCCTTAGCGATTTTTTCCCAAGACCCAAGCTCAAAGGCTTCATTAACCCACTTGATCAGCTCTTTTTCTTTACTCCAGAGCAGCAGTCTTTTTGACAGATTATCATCATACTCTATCCCTCTCGTTGAGAGGATATGCTGGAAGAGCTTAAGGATGGCCATTTCTTCTTTACTTAATTGATTCCCCATCCTAATCCTCTTCCAGACCAGTCAGCTGTTACCTTATTTGCACTGCACAGTGTCTTCCGGGCTCACAAGACTCCGTTCCGAGGCATCTACCTGGTCCTGCTGGATCGAACCCAGCCGACATCCCTGCAGCTCTGCATTTTCCACTTTCTTTGGTGCCACGTGCTTTAATTCCTTCAGTTTCAATATGAAAAACAGGGGGGTGCCCCACATTGGGCACTATTTGCCGCAGAAAATATATGGACCCAGTCAGAGATCAATATGATCAGACAAAAGCCATTTATTAAAAAGCCTTAACCCCTTAAATACTGTTTCTTACAAGCACTTACAGTGATTTGGCATATTATGTTTGGATACATGCCTTGAAGACCCTTAGTGACTAACATACAATTGGTTAAGCACAGGTGTGAGAACTTGACCTCGAAAGCTTGCCAACAGTCCACAGTTCTCATTAACTCGGTGAAATCCAGCTTCTTCTTATCTTGCTTGCTTAAGCTTCCCTGGGCCTCTCACGGCCTTGCTGTATCTCTCAGGATTATTCAGAGTTCATGTACCAATTATCCATTCTCCCGTGAGCACAACTGACTGAGCTGAGCTGGTACTTCATTAGTATAGAAGTTCTCATTGTTGCTGTATTTCTGTATTTTTCCCCCTTTTTCCCTAGGCTTATCATAAAAACAGAATTTCTGCCCACCAAATACAGAGGATACATGTTGCCCTTATCTCAGGTAAGAGTGAGCACATTTCTGTTTTTCCAGCCCCAAGCCCCAGGAGATTTGTCCCACTGCTGTTTGGAAGCTGGATCTCCAGGACATCAGCCTTTCTCCCAGACTATTCACACTTGTCTGGGTCTGAGCCCCAGAGTGTGGCGTCTGCGTTAGTAAAGGCAGTTGCCTGCAGAAAAGAGGCACTAACATCAAGTAACTGGCTGCTCCAACCACTGCATGGGAACTTTGAGTGATGGCTGGCACCATGGCTTTAAGAGGGCCAGTGCTGATGAGCTGGTAGGCACTAGAGCCAGCAGCACTGCCAGCCCCCTCCAGGCCTGAGCTCATCCCCTCCTCTCTTTGGACCCCCATTGATAATAAGCAGTTAAAAAGGTCATGCCCAGATGAGGTCCTAATCTGTGCCTCTCCCTGTCCCTGCACATTGGACACTGTGCAGGATAGGGGTAACACAGATTCCCAAATTTGGCCCCAGACGTGCTGGGAGGGTTGTGCCCTCTTGCTGGGCAAAGACCACAGCAAGCATGACTTGGGTGGCTGCTTACGCCAGATTTCTGCAACGGGCACTTGCTGCATGTGCAAATGATCTGTGGAGCCCTCATTGAGCACATGAATTCATCTGACTATTGAACCAAAAGTGTTTGTATATGGCCTTGGTGGAAGGGATAATTTGCTTTTCATTACTGCCTGTTTGATCCCAGGGCTTCGTTACCGAAGTGTCACCAGAAACACAAGGTTTTATAAAAAGGAACAATGTTATTTCTCCTCAGAAATTTATTTCTGCCCTCATGAACTTGTTGTGGCTCCTGTGTGTTTGTTTGTGCTTTGTGTTGGCTGAACTCCCTTGGGTGGTCCCCTGGTAAGGGATGTGTCTCCTAATGGCAACAAGTGAACTTCGGGAAGGAATGTACTTGCAGATCAGGGGGCCACATTCTCCATTGGTATAACTTGGCGTTGAGTCTCCTGGAGACACACCAACTTCCAGTGGTGGAAATCTGGCCCACTTTTGCCTTTGGTGCTAGTAAATCTGCTGCATCCCTGCAGAGATTTAGACAAGAGGAAAATTCATGGGCATGAGCATTAGCAGAGCAGTGACTGGAAGGACAAAAGAAGTGGCTTTAAATACAACATAACAGCAAGTGATCTGTTTGCATCTGTAGCTAATTAAGACCATCTTCAGCCATCCCTCCCCAGATACTTGTCTTTCATTCCCTCTTTCCTTCAACCCAAGCTGAGCTTCTCATGGATGGCATAGAATGGCTCAGTTTGAACTACAGTGCTCCCCAGCACAGATCCCCACTTATCCAGGGAACCAGACACGAAGGGAAGAAAACAAACAAATTATTGCCATGTGTGCATGTTTTAACTCCCTCTTTTCCCTTGGAAAGGTGTTTTGGTTGGCAGGATCCATGTTAATCATTGGCCTGGCATCGGTGGTGAACCCAACCATTGGCTGGCGATGGCTGATCAGAATCGCCTCCATCCCCGGCATCCTTCTCATCCTGGTGTTCAAGGTAAGAAAAGCTGCCCTGCCCGCTCGCTGCCACTGACCTGGTATCTCCCCAGGCACCAAGAGGCATTGCCCTGAACCCCCACAAACCTGGGGATGTCATAGAATCATAGAATAGTTTGTGGAGGAGACCTTCAAAAGTCATCCGGTTCAACCCCCCCCTGCAATGAACAGGGATGTCTTCAACTAGATGAGGTTGCTCAGAAGCACAACCAGCCTGGCCTTCAGTGTCTCCAGGAATGGTACATCCACCACCTCTCTGGGAAATCTAGTCCAGTATTTTACCACCCTCACTCTGTCCTCCTTTCACCACTTCAGCCCTCTCGCCTGGGGGGAGAGTTGGGAAGGTCCTGATGGCCTGAGGAGGCTACAGATCTGATGCTGATCTTGGCTTTGCTGCCCTCCTGTAGCCCTCCAGCACCCCAGGCTCCAGTGTCCATGGTGCCAGTGGTACCCAGGGACCATGGTGATGGGCACCATCGAGAGGAAGACAGGCTAGGAAGGGTATCAAAATCACAATACCTTCAGTGTAGTGCTGGTCCCTTCAGTCTTTACATGTGTTAGTGCTGGTGAATGAAACCTCAGTAAAGTGTTCACACAGCAAATGGGTGTCTGGGTCAACTGCAGCTTCCCCAGGTTTACTCAAGCTTCAGAAATATCAGCCTCAGATATGGGGACAGTCTTATTTGTGGGGAGTGGTGTAGAAAATCCCTACTTACAGTGCCCATGGGTGCTGCAGCTGCTCCTGGTGCAAGATGTGCAGATGAGAAAGCTCCTCCTGCAGCTGAACAAATAGACAAGTCCATCCGGGGTGCTACCTGGGCAGTCAAATGCAAGGGCACTGTGAATGTCCACTCATATAACTTTGATGTTTGGTATTCCTGATATTTTGCCATTAGAAAGAAAAAGGAAAAAAGAGGGTACCAAAAGTTTTTAGTCTAGAAAGAATAAAAAAAAAGACACAGCATATATGCCTTTAGAAGAGAAGGAATCTTTAACTCCCATTTCAGTGATACAGATGTAATTGTTTATAATTTAGTGGAAACATCATTTAATGAAAAGGTATCTTATTTTGGAAAGACCACAGGTGTGGGTGAATGCTGCGAATGCTTGTGATGAGTTTGTTCCTAAATTTCATCCATGTCTTCCTTTTTTTTAATGGCTTTGCTCTGTCTTCTAAGACTTTTGCTTAAGTAAGTGGCAAGTGCCTCATCGTGTTTTAGAATTACAATCAATAAGGGTTGTCTTTGTTAAAAATGTGTCTTTGGCTTCCACCTCTTATAAGTGCCTGCCACAGTCAGCTCAGTAGCAGATCCCTAGGAAATGGACCAAGAAATGGGTTTGTTGGGCAGGGTGAGCTGCCCACCATGAGGTATGGGGAGCCGGGACACACAGGGATGCGCCAGAGCACGGCTGGGGAGGAGCACAGGCAAAAGGCTGCTCCAGCCGAGGTGGTGCCTGGCCAGGCTCCTGGGCATGGCAGGAAGCTGTGAGGAGGGTTGTGTGGACAGAGAGGTGCGGAAAGGCTTTCTGACGCTGCTCTGCTTTCAGTTCATCCCAGAGTCGGCGCGGTACAACGTATCCGTGGGCAATGTGGCGGCTGCTTTGGCCACGCTGCAGAGGATAGCCAAGATGAATGGGGCGGCGATGCCCGAGGGGGAGCTGAGGGAGCCTGCCAAGGTAAGCTAAGCCATTGCACTGCTTGGGCCCTCTGTCCAGGGCTTCTGGGATCTGAGCATCAGGAAGGGAGCAGGATGGCCAAGCACATCTCACTCTGCCTCTGTTCCCCTCCTTGCCTGGTTTGGTTCCAAACAGCTATTGAATGTGATGATGAAGATGTCATTTTTCTTTTGAAGAGACAGCAATCTTGGCCCTCAAACTGGAATTGAGTTTTCTGGGGTTTTTTGCATTCTCTGTGTTTGCTCAGAAAAATATTGTGCTGAGAAAAGATCTGCTTCCTTTGCTACACAGAGGGCTCTTGGCAAAGTATGTTCTCCCTCACTGCCCAGCCATCCCCCAGGGTTGTCCCCTGTGCCATGAGACGTGGGACCTGCCCCTTGGGTTCCCTCTCAGGACTGTAGCCTCTCAGGGTCCCAGCCATGAGGTCAGCCCTTGCCATGAGGTTTCTCCCAGCCCCTGGCTGGGCTTATCCACTGGGTCTCAGCACCCAGGTCCCCGAATGTGGAGCCATGCACCAGCAGAAGGGGGTCAAAGCAGGAGAGGCCATTTCACAGCTACCACTGTTTCCACCTGTAAGCAGCTGAGCACTCAGGAGTTGATTACTGCTGGAACAAAATGCCCAGAAGCTTGTGTGGATGATGCAGGCAGAACAGGACAGGAGCTGGGAACTGGAATTTCCCCCCACAAGGTGGCTCTCCCTTACCCCCAGTCTAAGCAATGCTGACTCCGGGGAGTGAAGACTTATTCACGTGACTCCTTTGACCCCCAGGAGATGAAGATTGGACAAACCTATTGTCCAGGGCCTCAAATTGTTATCCAGCTCTTTTTAAGTAAGTCCCTTTCCTGGACCTCTTTGCTGCTTATTCAATCCCACAGGCACCAAGCATTGTCCTTAGCAATTCATGCAAGATGGTGCTATTGTATTGGAATTAATTAGGATTAAAGCTTCCCTGTAGTTTAATTGAATTTATGTAATGGACCCGCCTTGGCTGTGGGAAGGGGTTTTGTTCACTGTGCCCCCTCTCGGCCTTAACCAATGATGAGGAAAATAAAGGCAACCCAAAACACCCCTGGGAACTCTTGTCCCCTCGGCAGTGGGATGCTGGGGCAGCTGCCAGCTCCTGGGGAGCAGCAGGGCAGGCAGGGCCCTGCAGTGCCTGCATGTGTCTCTGCTCACTGGCATTTCAGGCCTCCCAGCAAGATGTATGTGGCCACAGACTTGCTCCACGTGCAGAGCAGGGGACACTGGGACCCTTTCCTCAGCACATGGGCAACAGGAGCTGCCAGCATCAACTGGGGCACCCTCTAGCACCATGATGGTCATGCTGGGGCCAGGCTGCTGCGAGCTGGGGGAGTTCTGTGGGTGCCAGGGGTGCTCAGGGTGTTCTCTTCTCCTCCTCTCCGTCCTTTGCAGCTCATCTTCCTGTGGACATCCTTTGGGAAGAGGGGCTTTCCTCTATGAAGGGCTGACGGGGTGCTGTCAGTCCATCTGTCAGTCTGTCTGTGCACCAGCAGCTTGGGGCGAGGGCAGGGAGACCCTGGGGTGCCTGCTGCTCTCACAGAACACTCACCCTGTATAAAATATGCCTTTTTAAAAACTTCCTATAATATATAATATTTCATAGTATGTAATTCATAATACCTCATTATATTTCTCTCAAATGATTTGCAGGAAAGGAGAGGAAGATTCAAGGACCTCATCCACCCCAAATACCTCAGAACCACTTTGCAGATATGGATCATATGGTAAAAAAAAGTCTTTTTTCTTCCTTTTTTTGTTTGGTTATCAGCTCATTCTCTCAGCTGAATGTGTGCAGGGAGCAGAAGCCTCCCCATGACTCTGCCATTACAAGGCACCACTTCTGCCTTAGGAGGCAGCTGTAGATCCTTGCCATCTGGAGGAGGAGTATGTGTGCATGGCTCCTGGTCTCAGACATCCTGTGTCAGTCGCTGCTAGCATAAGCAGAAGGCTGGACATCCAGGATGGTGCAGGGTGCTGTGAGCCCTTCCTCAGGACAGGGCAGCTCAGGGGAGGTGGGGTGGGAGCCATAGGAGAAAGGCAGCAGCGTGCACCCACTGTGTGCCTGTGGCTCTGGTTCCCTTCTTGGTGTGAACACGTTCCTCCCAAGAGGAGGACAAATGCACCACCTTCAAGGCCAGCCAATACATCAGTCCTACAGGGCTCCAGCAGAAACACATGAACTGTTTCCAGTGACGCTGGCTGGGGAATATTAAGATTGAAGAGGGATGCATTTCATATGCAGTGTTCCCCGTAGCTGTATGCAAGGGTCGTATACATTTCATTGACTTTGCTGTCTGGAATGGAAATGTATAAATAATGAGTCCATGGGAACTCATTGACCCAAACTATTGCTAAGTCAGGCCTCAAATTTTTCATGTTCTCTCACCCTCCACTTGTATGTTATGAAATAATCCTTCTTTTTGTTTGCTAATCCTCCTTTCTTTCCTGGTTGCTAGCATGTTCTCAGGTTTGCATTCCCACCCCCTGTGTTCCCTAAGCATCCCTAGGCAGCTTGTCTCCTAGCCCAGATTCTGCTGCTCGTTTCTGGAACTGACAGGGGGGTTAAAGAAGAGTGAAAATTACTTCTTGGCCTGCTTGTGCTTAGGCGTGTGTGGAATTACTTGATAATGACACAGCCAGGCTGCCATCACCAGTGCTGTGCTCTTGACAGCCAGCCAGGGTGCAATGTGAGCCTCTCCAGCCACTTACTGAAAGCTCCTTTCAAAATCCCTGGGCAGGAAAGAGAAGAACAGCAAAACCCTGGGCAATTGCTTCGTGTGAGCTGCAGCACCAGGGCCTGATGTTGAGACTGCTGGGATTCCCAGGGAGGGGTAGTCTCCACTCACAGCCCTGCATGAGGAAAGGGACCGCAGGGGCAAGCTCTGCCCCGGTCACCTGCTGCAGAGCAAGGTGCAGCACTAATGGGCGAGCAAAGCGAGCGTGGTGGGTTGACCCTGTCTGGGCACACCAGAATAGGGCACCAAAACCTGCTGCATTTCCCCCTACCCTCCCCATGGTTGCTGCCGCTCACCGCAGCGTTCCTTCCCCACCCAGGCTTGGCATAGCTTTTGCTTACTACGGTGTCATCTTGGCCAGCGCCGAGTTACTGGAGCGGGACCTCGTCTGTGCCTCCGCAGCTCCACCGATGCAGGACTCCGGCGATGACTCCGAGGAGAGCCGCAGCCCCTGCCACTGCCGCCTGTTCGAGCCTGCTGCCTACCAAACCATGATCATCAGCACTGTTGGAGAGATCGCACGTAACCTCCTCTCCTCTCCCTGCCAGCTCCTTCTTACAGCCAGCCAACGCTCACTGCAGAGCGTGTAGCTGTGTGTGCACTTACTGACGGGCCAGGTGTCGCAATGTCCTCCGCATTGCTGGCAACTGGCACTTCAAACAAAGGTCTGGGACACAGGCCATGAGCTGGTGGCAAGGGGTAAGAGAGGGTATTGCTCCCTAGGCAAGCAGCTCAGCTCCTGGTGATAGCACAGGTCCTTCCAACAGCAAAGACCTCCTTAGCAGTTAGTATGTACTGACAGCCTTGGTTAAAATTGCTCCCAACTTACAAGAACTGAGCCCGGCTTCCCAAATTCCCAGACACGTAGCTTTTGGAAAGTCATAAATAAGCAAGGATTGCAAATAGTCAGATTGATGTAAATAAATGCATCACACGAGCGTCCTGCCTTCCAAGAGATGGTGGCCTCAGGAGCAGGTCCTATGCTGAGCACTACAGTAAAGGAAAGCTAAACTCCCAGCAAACCAAAATGCTTCCTGGTGCAGCCTTCCTGGGAGTGCTGGGGGATGGCAGGACATCCCAAAGGCACCCTTGAAAGAACCTGGCACTGTGCGTGTGTCTAGTATTGCAACATGCCTGAGACATCCATGTTTTCCCTGGTTCATGTCTCAGCAGCTGACCTACAAAGTGAGTGGGTTTTGGATGCTGCAGCTGCAGGTACAGCCAGGCTAGGATCAGCCCAGTGATGCACTCAGGTGCCTGCCTGGCTCCCAGTTCATTGGGGTCACGCTCTGGGCCTGGTTTTGGCTTGGCTGTGGCCAGAGGGAGCAAAACCACCCAGGGCTGTGGTACTCACCCAGTGGATGCCTTCAGAGGAGGGAAATGTCGGAGAAGCACAGGCTCCATCCTCTGAGGGCAAGGACAGACAAAGAGGAGCTATGGGAGCAAATGACAGGGTTGGGGTACAGGAAGAGAATTACAGGGTTTGTGCATTTTACAGAGCGTTTGGTAGGCAGTGGGGATGCAGAGAGGTATTTTGAGGCACACTGTACAAGGTTTATCAAGACACAGACAATCATCACAGTGAGGTCGTCTAACATTTTACAGTTTTCCTTTTTATCTGCAGTAAATCCTTTGAACATTCTTGGCATCAATTTCCTCGGAAGACGACTAAGCCTGAGTATCACCATGGGATGCACGGCCCTATTCTTTCTTCTCCTTAATATCTGCACCTCCAGGTAGCCTGGATCAGCATGAGTCTTTCTGGGGGGCTTGCAGTCCTGGGCAGAGGGCAAGTACCTGTGGTAGTCTCGGGTCATCGGTTGGTCAGGCCAGTAATTCCTGTACATCTGCAAAAACCCCACTGACTGGATCCCTCCCCTTCCTGGGAAAGCTGCAGCAGAACATGCTGTGGTGAGGGAGCGTGCAGGGGGGTCACTTGTATTATCGAGCCCACATGGCTTCCCCCAAGCATACAATAAGTTGTTTTCTACTAAATTCACATAAAAATGATGTGAATAACATCTGCCAGAAAGCAGTCGTATTTGTTATTCGTTTTTTCCTTTCCCTTTTTTGGCAATGCTAGATCTATTTCCTCAGTTCTATAATCAGGCACTTCACTGGGGGAAATCCAGCAACAGCCAGGACAGACGAGGCACTGAGCAATCTGGTCTAGTGGAAGGTATGCCCTTTGCAGAGGGTTGGAACTGGAAGAGCTTCAAGGTCCCTTCCAACCCAAACCCGTCTGTGATTCTATGTAACGCTGAAGGCACCAGCTGAGACACTATGGTCCTCTTCAGATGATTCCCTCCAGGGTCTAACACTTGCCTAGAGGAAAACAAAGGAGCAGTAGCCCATTTTCAAACATGCCATGCCCATGGACAAAAGAAAGTTTATTCTTGTCAGCAATCAACTTTTCCTTATGCTTTTCCTCGTATTAAGCTGTAAAAGCCTTAGCACAGTGCATATGCTAGGTTGCATCTCTGCTGATCCCGATTCAGTGCCTAACTCTTTGCTCCAGATAGCTTTCTCTCCAGTGCAGGCATGACTGGGTTTCTCTTCATGCTACGTGCTTTGGTTTCAGCCAACTTCAACACCATCTACATTTACACAGCAGAGGTGGGTGCTCCTGAAACTACGGTAACCTGCTCTGTTGTATGAAAGACCATTTTCCTATACCCAGGAATGTTGCCAGATTTATTGACTAGTTAGGGTCACCTTCCTTGTACTAAGTATCTCTGACTGATTTCATATGCAAGATCAGAGGAGGAATCAGAAAACTAGTTGAAGATGATAAGAGGAGGGGGAAGAGGAATGCCCTACTGAGGCATCTGCTGGTCAGCTACTAGAAAATGTTATTTTTGAAGATGTTGCGTACCACCACCTTCCAAACCCCACAATCTTTCCCCTGCAAAGTTAGAAAATAAGCTACCACTTAAAAATAACCTTTTCCAGTACCTAAGAAGCAGTATGAGGTTATATATACAATTTTTGTTCACTTAGGGCAAATTGCTGTGCTCCATCTGCAAAGTTTCAGTCCTTCCGCGAGCTTGTCCTTTGCACCACCTCAGAGCCATTAGTTCTGTGGGTGAAGTATGCACTGAGGATTGTTGTTCTTTACACAGTTGAGTGGAGTTAAATGGTTTGCCATGCAGATTTTGACTCAAATGATAAAAAGCAAGCAGGAGTAGCTCCCTGTGTTGGCCAGATACTTTTTAATAGTACACTGTTTTGTTTAAGCTTCCACTGGGCTCAAATAAATACCAACATTTTGGTAGTCCTGAATCGCATGCTGTTGATGTAAAGACCATTGCTGCCATGGCCATATCATAAGCTAATACTGCTCACAATTCAATCAGTGATCAAAACCATACTCAGAACTCCCACTTCTGGCCACATGCCTGGACTCTTCTTGACTTACTTCCATTGGCTTGGCCTAGTAAAGTAATTTTACAAAGGCTTGCATGAGTATACTTGCTAAAATCCATTGATAGTAGCAGGACTTAAAGTAAAACAAAATACATGCTTAAGTGTTTTACTGGCACAGGTGTTTAGAAGATATGAAAAAGAAAATAAACAAAGCACATTCTTCTAAGCCTGGAAGTTTCTTACTGGCATCTGTTTTAATTTTTCCTCCTTCTAAACAAAAGTGCTGTTGATACAGTCTCAAAGACTGCAGACAGTATCCTTTCTGCTTTCCAGATACAGAGCCTGACAATATAAATTGAGTTCTTCCTTTAGCATCCAGCCTAATCTCTATAACTTCGGTGTAGGCTGTCCAGCACAGCTGGGAAAAAGGGGGGAAGAGTGGCAAGCAAAGAGCAGAGGAACTGCATCCAGCTTTGATTTACTTGCCTTACAGCTTTCCCTAGGGCACAAAATGGCAGATTTTTAATGGCACAAATGAGACCAAAAGGAGCCTTCATTTCTTTTCATATCTTATCCCACTAGCTGCCCTTATTAAGATGAAGAGAAATTAAAAAGTAAAAATAAGGACACATTATCACAGATCATTGTTGCACTAAAATCTGATTTCCTTCTGGCCCGTTTTAGGTTTATCCCACGACAATGCGGGCCCTGGGGATGGGAACAAGTGGGTCACTGTGCCGTGTTGGAGCTATGGTGGCCCCATTTATATCGCAAGTAAGAGCACGCTTGGTAATGTTGGTAAACATAGTGCCAACCACTGCTATCAAATATACAAAGAGATGTCCCTGAAGTTCACACACACACACACACACACACACACAGAGAAAAGGTGGATGCAATCAGTTCTCTGCTCCCAACTCTGCATACAGGGTACTTACAAAGTCTTTGCCAGATGTAGCTCTGCATAAATCTCATCCCAGAGCTTGCTAGTATTTATTACTTTCTGAAAGCACTTAAGGATTCACAAGACATTGTTTTCCCTATCGTCACATCTTTCAGGTGCTTCCAAACCTTTGCCCACCCTTTTAATTCCTAACCGCTAGCCCCCCATACCACTGAACTGATGTTTGAACTGGTTTTTGCCTGCAGGTTCTCATAAATGCTTCTTTCCTCGGGGCCCTGTGTCTTTTCTCATCTGTGTGCGTTGTCTGTGCAATCTCTGCGTTCACACTGCCCATCGAGACCAAAGGCAGGGCACTGCAGGTTTGTATTACCACTCCAGGAGCTCCTGCTAAATGCTATTCTAAATGCTCTTTAGAAACTAGTAGATTATGATTCATCTGGAATCCAAACCAAACTCTCCTGAGGATTAATAAACCAAAGAAAGGCCTGACTGGCAAGCACAGACCCTGCTGTGGCAGCAGCTTAAAGCACTGTCACCCCATTTGCCTAAAGCTCATTTCTCATAAAAGAACAAACCAGCACGCCGCCCCTAGTCCCAGCTACCTCATGCAAGAGTGTTAGCTTCAGCTAGTGCAAGCCTCTCTTTGCTAGTACCTTTCCAGCCCTGACTTGAACTTGCTGCTTCACAGGCACACAGGCCACAGTTCTAGGCTGCTGGTACTGCAGGAAGAAAGGACAGCAGACATGTAACACCTTCAACTACTAAAGCCATTTCTTCGCAAATTCAAGTCAAAACACCCAACTGTATCAGTACGTTAGCCAAGCCCTTGTTGCTAGCGTTTCCTATAAAACACTGTCAAAACACTAAACACGAAGACTATGGGGGAAGTTTAAATTCAGACAGCCTCCCTTGAACAGGTTTCATTAGTTTAATTACAGGAGGTGGTGAGTGGTTGTGTGATTCTAGTCCATTCAGCTACACGAGCGTGGACATTTTCGCATCATGCATGTGGCATGCCCCCACCACACTGCCTGTTATTCTGCAGTCTTACCTGTACAAACCAGAAGACCATGGGCTAAGTAATCCACGTTCTTCAGTGGCTTAGAGCAAAACAGATGTTCAAACAAACTGTTTTACGTCGGCTTTAGCACTACACTTTTGAAAAGCCAGACATACAACATACAAACACACATGTATTACATATATGCGCATACTTCACTGGGTCTTATCTAAGGTTTTCTCACTGGGACCTTAAGGTTTTCAGAAAAACAACATATTGATCATTGCCTGCTTCTTTAAATGGTTAACTTTTAGAAATGCTTGACTTCTACGTTTGATGCCATTTAAAATATCTATATGATACTCTGTAAAAGATGGGGGGGGGGGGGGGGGGGAATGAAAATCAAAGGTTAAGTAAGGAAGTGGACAAAGCAACTTAATCTTCCCTTGTGGGTGAAATTCAACCCCATGCACAGCGGCCAGAGAGCCACTTAGGCTTTCAAATGGTTGGATTTACAATAATTACTAAGCAAAACACTTCATTAAAACTTCTTTAGACATTAAAGGAAAGCTTTGATTCCACTACAGTTGAATTAACTTTGGCTAAGAGTGGTCAAGATAAATGGGAGTGTAATGATTCCTTAACAGGATCCCCCCTTTTCCTGCAGACTTAGCTCAATAGCATTATTATTCTCCTTGCTACAAATAAGAGTTATAAGCTCCAGCTGCTGGCCTTTACATGCACAAGTTGAAAGGATGGAATAATAAAAACCTGCAGAATTAGTTGTGTACTCTGGGAAGTTGCCATTAGATCTAAAATTGAACTTGCTAGCTCTCATCTCATGGTCATTTCAGAGATTACGTTTTGTGTACGTAGTCCTTCAGGGATTGCTGAATCATGACTACTGAACATATTGTCCAAGGGCCTCACAGAACAGTCATCCCACCCATACAAGAATTCAAACACATAATGTAAAAGCTCTGTTAACATGGAAGAAGTTCATCCCTGTGAGGGTGGTGAAGCACTGCCACAGGTTGCCCAGAGAAGCTGTGGCTGCCTCATCCCTGGTAATGTTCAAGGCCAGGTTGGACAGGGCTTGGAGCAACTTGGTCTTGTGGAAGGTGTCCCTTGGAACTAGATGATCTTAAGGTCCTTTCCAAACCAAACCATTCTATGTTAATATCTGAAGGGGGCCTATAGGGATGCTGGAGAGGGACTCTTCATTAGAGACTGTAGTGATAGGACAAGGGGTAATGGGTTAAAACTTAAACAAGGGAAGTTTAGATTGGATATAAGAAGGAAATTCTTTCCTGTTAGGGTGGTGAGGCACTGGAATGGGTTGCCCAGGGAGGTTGTGAATGCTCCGTCCCTGGCAGTGTTCAAGACCAGGTTGGATGAGGCCTTGGGTGATATGGTTTAGTGTGAGGTGTCCCTGCCCATGGCAGGGGGGTTGGAACTAGATGATCTTAAGGTCCTTTCCAACCCTAAATATTATATGATTCTATGAATATTTAGACCTAAGGCTTCAGACAACAGATGTGTTCCTTCATTTAGAGCTAGTTTAAGCAACAGAACAAAAATTATGTAAGTAACTTTTTGTGAAATCTAGAAAATGACATTTAAAAAGCATATTTACTCATCAGTCCTCTCTCAAAGCACCCAAGGGGCAACAGCATTTGGGCAGATCCAAACGCACATTGTTTTCCCCTGTATTCATATTTCTGTTGGTTTTCATGTGCATTTTATTAATTTTATGTTTTTTCTTTTCTTTCCCCTTTTTAGCAAGTAAAATGAAAGCGAGTATTTGATGTTGGATTAGGTTGGAAAGAAAAATAAACCTTTGGAATCTGTCATTTCCTGGCAACTGCATTTGATGTTGATTATTTCTCCATACCATTTCCATTATTAAAAATGGCAACTGAACAGTGCAAGAGCTATGAATTGTATAGACAAATGGCAAATTTCTCAAGGACAATCCCTTTCTTATGATTCAATAAACAGATGCTTTCTACCTGTCCTGTGAAGTGAAATGAAGACTTTTTACTACCAAGTACTATTAGTAGTGACATTACACACACACCCCCCCCTCAAGCAAAAAAAAAAAAAAACCAACCCCAAACCAACCAATCAAACCACCCCCCAAAAAAGGAAAACAACCACCATTCAGTGGACTGAGGCAAAGGGGGAAAAAATACATTAAAGTAGATAGAGTCTTTGCCATAGCAGCTTGAAAGAATGTAGTACTTTAAAATTGCTTCCTCAAGTATTTGTGCCTATACCACCTGTGTTAAAGTAGCTAAATTTAACATCTCAAAAACCTCACTGCAGAGACAATTTCTGACGATTCTCAGGGTGACATTCAAGAGCACAAAATGAAGGTTGAGTCAGATTTTTCCAGTGGATTAAACAAGACAGTTTCAGTTTACAGAAGACAGATAAGCAGCTGTACTGCAGGACTACATATATGCTCTTCTCCCCCGTATCTTGCACTGGGAGAAGAACTTGAGTGTGAAGCTGTAAAGGTATCTAACTTCACCTCTAAACGCAACAAGCCACCTAATAAATCTGTGCTTGCAACTTATGGTCCAGAGAAACATGCAGCACCTTCCTCTGGAAGCACTGTTAAACTTGATGACAAGGTAAACAGGATTTCCAGGCATTGCCAGATCTTTAAGATATCAAATGTTGCAGTGGCAGTGCCTCCTGTTTCTTAAGTCTGTGCTACTGCAGTGTGCACTGATCACATCTGTTCTGTTAGAATGGTCACCTTCCTGTTCTGCTCCTTCACCTCTATTCTTTCTTTGGTACTGTTGTGATGGTAAAACTCCTGCTGCAAACAACTTTCTCCAAGTAATAAAAACTTTCTACAGAAAACCACAACCAAACAAAAGGAACAAAATAACAACAACAAAACAAAAAGAAAATGAATGGTTCCTCTGAGCAGCTTAAAAATCAACCAATTTCAAAAGCTACAAAGGCTGCTGCAAACACAACCAAGTGTTCTTTTCTTGGAGTCCACTACATTTAAGCATGCAGTGCCACCCTACGACAAAGGCAGGTGGACAATATCTCATCTGATGAGAGGGGAAAAAAGGGGCCTTTTTCTGAGCGCATATGCACACAGCAGGGAGGCACAAGCAGCACTTTTATCTAGTCTCCTCAATGATCTATGCACAGCACCACATCAGTGCTACATAGCAAATCAGAAGCAGGCTTGTGTACACTCTGATATCTTCATGGGTCCACTTGCAAAATTCTAGCACACCAGAGCTCAGTTAATCCAAAGGACTGCCTGCACTCACAACAACGCAGTTTTCCTTTAAGATAACAAATTAAGAATATAAACCACTAGCTAGAGCAACAAGAGACAAAGTACTTCTTTAACTCTGCAGTCTCTGAGGGCAGAAACAACCATCTGCATTGTTGTCAGTGCTTCTGGGAAGTAGACAGAACTGAAAAAGGCCATTTGTCCTCACCTAACGGTAATTTTAGCAGGGACAGATGAAGGGTCAGAGAACAGTATCTTCCTTTTTTTGTCTACCTCTTCAAACTTTGTACTTCCAAGTGAATAATGGTGCTGGTTGCATTCTAAAATTTGGAAAAACAAGAACTTGTGGACAGAAAGGATGCCCTTGCCCCCCATTCTAAACGCACACAAAGACTTGCTGATAGTTGCAAGCAAACATTTTTCCCTTCAAAACTTTGTTGTCAACTCCATTAAAGAGAAATACATCAAAACTTGAGACACCATTTAACAAAAATAGTACAGAAATACTACTGTTTCTTGCTGGTGGTAAGAAAAATGGCGCAAATCGAAGTATTGTCCTTTACCTCCTCCATTAAAAACTCCCAAACAAACTCCTTTTTTTTCCTTTTCTTTTTCTTTTTTTTTTTTGAAGTTATTTTTAATACACTCTCCCTTACATTTTAAAATTACCAATAACTTCTTTGGGGGTAACTACACTTTCATTGTACGAGTCAATATTGCAGGACAATATTACACCATCTGTTCTCATGGCTTCTGTTAAATACAGTACAAAGAAATCAAATTATGGCCAGCCACATGCCTTTGGTAAAATTAAAAGTCTGGTGAGATCACATTTTCTTCAAACTCAGAAAGCCACATGTTGAACCCATGTAATGTTTTGAAGTTCAGTTCTATACAAAATTCTTTTCTTCGTCAAAGTAAACAGCTGTCATGCCACCCAAATGGCAATTTCTGCGCTGTTCCAGAAGTATGAGGAAAGCTTGGAACTTCAGAACTCTCCACGTGCCTTGATCACCATTAAATCTGTGTTCCAGACAAGGGGTAGAAAGTCTAGTGAATACCCACAGACCTACCAGTCAAAGCAGTTATGACTTTTCCCCTGTTCACAATTAATAGTGATAAATACCCTTAGTTTTTTAAGAAGCCCATAGCAACACATGCAGCTCATTTGAGTGACTGACGGTCTTCTCCTTTGAGGCGTTTTTTCCGGGGCTGTACAACGTCATCATCTGAGTCACCAGTAAGTTCTGGATTATCTTTGTCACTCTGGCAGTTGGGTTGTACGGGGAACTTTCTCTCAGGATAAAGGTTCCTCAGAAGGTCTTCAAAGTATGCTTCAAGTTTCATGCCAGCATCAGCCACTTCGGAATCGGGCTGTTGGGTGAATTAACAACATCAGTGCACCACAAAATAGGCTTATAAGCAATTCACATTTGGTTTTTTAGGTGCTCTTACAAACTACCCTCAAAAACCCAATCAGCAGCAAGAATGTCACCTGTGGAACACTTGGTCCAAAAGAACACAAGCCTGCAAAACAGAGGGTAAGGACATCTTTTGGCCAACACCTCTAATGACTTTTTTCACTGATGGATTATCACAGAAGCCAATTGCAAAAGCCATATTGCCATCCTGAAAGCTATATAAAGAGATTCTAAAAACCCTTAGATATTTACTGGAAAATAAATAAATAAATAAAGAGGAAAGTTGGGTTATATTGTGAAATACATAGGTATGCCTTCAGGATGTTAACATGTTTTGGAATGTCTGATTCACTCAGTATCCGCATTCCTTTTTCACCATGTGTTCCCTTACGCGCAGTGAGGGTAATAACAATCACTAAACATGCAACTACAAATCATAAGGGTGAGTATAGACCTCCCAGAATAAAAACCCCACGGAATTTAATATTTGAGGCAAGGAGGAATAAACCAATTTTTAAAAAGCAAATGGCCACCATTAATCTTTATGATAAGAAAATCATCCTATTCTTTACCTGCTATCCTGTCATCCAGCTAGCATGTCTGTTACAGTCCTCCTTCCTTCTGTGGAAGGATCTCCACTGCACAGTAACCTAGCACCCCAGCAGTTTCAAACGTGATGTTTTCACTGCAATCTCATCAAACTAAGTTTAATACAGTTAATTCTTATGCTGTAAGTTCTACCCCCACGACAGTTTTCCTAAAAGAAACTACACCTACAAAACAAGATAAAGTATCTACTTTTCTAACCTCATTAAATTCAGCACAGTTTTGGAAAATCAGTCTGAAATCAGCCACAAAATCTTCTGGCTTTGTGTAGAATGAATTGGTCACTTCAAGCCTTTTCTTGATGGTTGACAAGTCCATAGGCTTTTTGATTATTTTGTAGTAATCAGGAACCTAAATGGAGAAAAACAAAATTTACTGAACGCAGTCACATTCATTACTTACTGTTTTATAAACCTTTGCCTCTGAGGGAGAAACCAAGATTTAGTCTCATCTTCAAATTACAATTCTAAGATGTAAGAATGGTACTTTTTAACTACGGTGTATGCATAGTTTCTGGATTAACAGTGGTGTAGGCTAGCTTTGCTGCCTAAATATACTCCTGCCTATTTTAAAATAAAAAAAAACAAACCAACAAATAAGCCCCCACTTACATTGATTATATACAACAGAGGAAGCAATCTGGACATTAATTTTTGGATGTAGTCAAATGAGCCATCTATTAAGTTTCACTCTCAAGACCACCATATGGTAACTTTGGCAACCCACTCAAACGGAGATGGTGCATCGGTTGCTTAAAATGAATTTTCTGAATGCATTATGAATTAATGCATTCAAAAATAAAAATTAGTGAAATACGTCCTTGGAAATGGTGGCAAATTTCAGAGATAAATAGATGATTTTGGAACTCAAACTGTGGATGTAGGGATTAAGATTTATTCTTTCTTTAGAAATAATTAGAAATTATAAAATAGGGTATGAAAGCCAATTATAATGGTTTTATACATTCTCCTAAGTCAATTCACATTTTGAGAGATATGCATATTTTAATGTTATAATACCTGAATTTACTATTTCATGACCATTATATGAATTAATCTCTTGTGTCATTTCTTATTATTAAACTCTGCTGAATGTTCTCCAAAAGAAAAATTCTTATTCAAATGGAATAAAAAGGGCGCATAGGAGCATATTGCTTATTGATGAATTCTTTTCCCACTGACTTGTCTTGAAGAACATAAAAGAGGTATTTTTCACCTGATCATGCTGGTAACTCTTCTGGGCACCCTTGCATTCCCAATATCCCCAGGTATTGTTTACTATCTTAACCTAATACATTTCAAGCTAATAACAAAGAAATTCAGCATCATATTAGTATTATGGAGTATCCTAATTCTCAAAATAAATTGGAAAAAAAGAAAGAAATCCAAAACCAAACAACATACTCCAATTCACTTTTCCAGTGAGATCACTCAGCATTGTGAAATCAGCTTAGAACTTACTTTTTCTGTCTACATTTGAAGTGTTAAGTAAAATCACTTCTTGAGGAATTTTACTAGTAAATCACCTTCTAACCCAGTGCTTCAACTTTAAACTGCGCTTCAGACAGTATTAATAAAACACATTTAATACACTCAATGTCTGGGAAACAACTGCTCATAACGATAAGACGTAAAAATGTCATTAGAAATATGCCAGTTATGCTTCTTAACATAAAATGGAAAGAAGCAAGGTACATACTGTGGGAGAAACTGGATCTTGAAAAGCAAGACTCATTTCATGACAGTAGAGATACAGCAGCAGTCTTTCACACTTCTGTGACA